GGGTTTGGTGTGTGTCTCTGTGTGTCTGTGTGTGTGTGTGTGTGTGTTTTTTAACCACGATCGAGAAACTGATTAAAGTAATTAAAATCAGTTTTCGCTGCTGGTTTTGAGTAGGAAAATCAAGTGAGGGGATTGAGAATTGAGAAGTCAGACGGGGTGAATTCTTATCCCCAACTTGAAGGAGATGCTTTTGTCACCCCAAGAGGGAAAAGTGTGTTAAATAAAAATCAATCGTGGCTTTTGAAGGGGGTCAGTATTTGGGGGGCACGGGGAGGCGCAGAGATCCCAAAGAGAAGCAGGAATTCAGGGTGTTTGCTTTGAGTATTTTCTGGATGTGAAGACAAGCCTCCAGGCTGATCTTCCATTCTATTTGGGACACTGATAAACTTCCAAGTGGCCTCAACGGCTCCCTAAAAGGCTGCAAATGACCAGCTCTGTCTGCAAGGAATATAAATCTTTCCATTCCTCGCCATTCAGTCAGAGCTGAAGAAGCTTCATGGATGAGAAGCAAAACCTCTTCAAGGAAAAACAAAGAAAATCCAGTTGCCTCTTGCAAAAAAGCACCTTTGGGACAAAGATAAACTTCCAAGTGGCCTCAACGGCTCCCTAAAAGGATGCAAATGACCAGCTTTGTCTGCAAGAAATATAATATAATCCCTCCATTTCCCGCCATTCTGTCAGAGCTGAAGAAGCTTCTTGGATGAGAAGTGAAACCACTTCGAGGAAAAACAAAGAAAATCCTGGGGGGAAAAGCACCTTTTGGACTAAGTTAAACCTCCAAGTGGCCTCAATGGCTCTCCAAAAAGGATGCGAATAACCAGCTGTCTGCGAGGAATCTTCTATATATATATATATGTATATATTTTATATATATATATATAAAAGCCAACTACCACTCAATCATCACAAAATCTCCAGAACGGTAGAGCCTACAAACTTGAAATTTGGCACGCATGTTCCTCTTGGTTTCTAGGTGCTCGCTAAGAAAGGATTTTTTGAAGTGACCATCAGATCATCAGTATTCCTTATACGGTATTTTAACACACGTCGATGCTAAGGAGTTCAGACATTCTACTCCCCCTCCCCACCTGAAAAGAACTCTGTTCCAACTGCCAGTTGCCTTATATTAACACATTCTGATGCTAAGGAGTTAGACATTCTACTCCCCCTCCCCACCTGAAAAGAACTCTGTTCCAACTGCCAGTTGCCTTATATGGGCCTGGCCAGCGTGTGACACATACCACTTGCAGGCTAGGAGTTCAGACATTCTACTCCCCCTCCCCACCTGAAAGGAACCCTGTTCCAACTGCCAGTTGCCTTATATGGGCCTGGCCAGCGTGTGACTCATCCGGCCTGCAGGCTAGGAGTTCAGACATTCTACTCCCCCTCCCCACCTGAAAGGAACTCTGTTCCAACTGCCAGTTGCCTTATATGGGCCTGGCCAGCGCGTGACTCATCCGGCCTGCAGNGGAGGGAGGGAAGGAGGGATGTAGATAGATAGGTAGATCTAGAGAGATAGAGAGATAGATAGATAGATAGATAGATAGATATGGAAACCTGCAATTATTCTTTTATTTCTGATTCTCGGCCGCAAAGAAGCCAGCTTCGGCCAAAACAATGGGGGGCATTGATGTCTGGCGCACACACACACACACACATACACACACTCGTGGTCCTCTGTCTCTCAGGGCCCTCGGGCAGTGGAGCATGGGATAGATGATCCTTTCACAGGTCGTCCTGAGTTTGCGACAGCCCGCGGGTAGCGGCCGTTCCAACTTTGAACCCCCGGCCCCTGAGCAAAGCGACTCAGAACCCATTTCCCCACGCTTAATCACCATCCAAAATTCAGAGGCTTGGCCATTCGACTCGTATTTATGATGGTCGCAGTTTGTCTTTGGTGTGTGTGTGTGTGTATGTGTGTGTGTTTGTGTGTCATGCCCATCCCCTTTTGGCAGCCGGACCCGTCCGAAACGACCCATCTTATTCGCCGAATCCAACCCGCGGCGGTTCGCTTAACAACGGTGGCCGGGGGATGTCATTAAAAAAAACGTGGCAGAAACTTTCCCCCTTTTAAACAAACGAATCCCCTAATAAATCACCGGTTTTGTACTAAAACTTTTGACTCGATGACCACGAATCAATTAGGGCATCGTCAGGACGTTGGACAACTTCCTCACTCGGCTGGAAGACCTTTTTGGCTCGGTGGGGCTGGTGGTCATAAACTCGAGGATTGACCTCTTAGCTGGGCCATTAACCCTGCGCTCCCTTCAGTCCGTTGGAGGGAGATTGCGAAAGTCGCTGCCTGTTGATAATCTGCTTTTTTTTTTTTCTTTTAAAAAAGGGACACCGGGTGAAAAAATGTAGCTGCACAGGTTGTGTTTGCCTCCAGTTAAACATGCCCCGTGATTGTTTTCGGGGGCCCTCAAAAATTCCTTCCAAATAGTCCCATTTTCTCTGGTTGAGCCTACAACAGAAGCGTTCCTTGCCAGAAAAGCCATGTTCCCTCTGGGCAAGTCAGGAAATAATCCCATTTTCTTCTCCCGCCTGTCACCGTCTTAATTTTTGCACATCGTTTTCTTTTTTTCCCCTCCTCCTGTTTTGCTACTGCGAAAAATCAAAAAAAGCACTATATATATATTGTGCTGGAAAGGCCTCTGGATTCTGGGTTATTCCTCATTTGCTATGTCTTCCGTTAAACAAACACAAAAAGGGGTTAAATCCAAAATGTTTAAAGGCAAAGCTTCCCCTCGCATGTATGTGCTAGTCGTTCCCGACTCTAGGGGGCACTGCCCATCTCCGTTTCAAAGCTGAAGAGCCGGCGCTGTCCGAAGACGTCTCCGTGGTCATGTGGCCGGCATGACTCAACCCCCGAAGGCGCACGGAACGCCGTTCCCTTCCCAACAAATTTGGTGGTTCCTATTTTTCTACTTGCATTTTTTTAATGTGCTTTCGAACTGCTCGGTTGGCAGAAGCCGGGACAAGTCACAGGAACTCACTCTGTTACGCTGCGCCGGGGATTCGAACCACTGAACTGCCGACCTTTCTGATCGACAAGCACAGTGTCTAAGCCACTGAACCACCTCCAAAATGTTTGGGAAAGCATAACTCATCAGAAGTAATCCCCCGCCTAACAGAATATTACAAGCTGGAAAGTTTTGAGAACAGAAAAGGAGAGAGAAAAAAATTAAAAATAAGAATATTAAAAGTCTGAAAGTTTTGAGAAAAGAAGGGGAAAAAAATCACTTAATGTCCATTGAGTCTATGGACCAGCTTGGAAGAACCGTCGTAAAACCGGGGCCGAAGGAATTCCTCACTCCGCCGCGTTAAATGTTGGGGGCTCGGCTTGTCGTCGTAAGTCGAGGACCAACCCGCAGAAAGGGAAGCTTCTTAAGATTTAAAAAGAGAGAGAGAGAGAGAGAGAGGCGGATTCAAATGCTCCGCTGTGTAATTTAAAACCCGAAAGGAGACGGATACGTGACATTTTGCACCATCCCTGCCAAAGAATTTGCGCTCAACAATTGTGGGGGAAGGAGGGAGCAATTCCCTCTGCGAAGAACCTCCGTTGTGTGTTACCGATGCTTCTCAGTTACACAACGCCCTCTCTTTGGCCTCGCTTGTGCTTGCAAAATATATCTGGGGCTCCCCGGCCAACGCAGCCGTCCCTCCAAGCAATGCAAAACAACAAACTTTTCCTGCCTTTTTTGCAAAAGAGCCCGCCAAGAAAACTCGAAATACAGAGACTGTCCTTGGCTTTACAGCAGTTCGGCTAGCGGCCGTTCCAAATTACCACGGCGCCGGGGCAGTGGGGGACACACGGGGGGGGACGGGGACACAGGTGACTTTAGGAAGCCAGATTGACGTGGCCTGAAAGGAGAAAGTGCCGACGGATTGTGTTCCTTGAGTTATAGGGACTGTGATTTCCGCAGCCTGGAAGGAAGCGAAGACTTTGCACTGGAGGATTGGATGCTACTCTGGGTGAACTGGGAAGGAGTGTGGGGAGGGGAGGGAGGACACAGGGGGTGTCCAGCCAAGCGGGGAGGTAGGGTGCCACAGGACAGAACAACAGAAGAGCCGTCTGCTAGGCAAGAGGCCTGCCCTTCCCTCCCTCCTTCCCTCCCTTCCTCCTTTGCCTCCCTCTTGCAAAAGAGCATTTAGCGCTCGGGCTCATATAGGGCGTCTCGGGGGGCTTTCGCAGCCCTCTCTTAAGCAGTTTACAAAGTCAGCCTCTTTCCCCCCCCTCCCCGAGCCCCCCAAACAGTCTGGCTCCTCGTTTGACCCTCCTCGGAAGGGGTGAAGGCTGAAGTCGATCTGGAGTCTGTCAGGATCGAACTGCCAACAGTCGGCAGGGAGTTAAGCCTGCCGTGCTGCATTCTGACCACTGAGCCCCTTGGATGGATGGGTGGATGGATGGATGGATGGATGGAAGGAAGGAGGGATGGAGGGATGGAGGGATGGAAATTATAGATCATAGAGAGATGAGAGAGATAGAGAGATGAGAGATTGATGAAAGAGAGAGAGAGAAATGATAAATGATACAACATAGATGACAGGGATGGATGCTAGGATGGATGGATGGAAGGAAGGATGGATGGATGGATGGATGGATGGATGGATGGATGGATGGATGGATGGATGGATGGNCCTCCTCCTCCTCCTCCTCCCTTTCCCTCTCCTCTTTGCATCTCCTCCTGGCTCCCTCCATAAAAAGCATTGTTCCTGGGGAATTCCCCGCAGCCAGACCTGGCGGTTGATGGGTTGGGAAGCCCCCTTGGGATCGTCCGGTGCTCCTCATTTCCCTCCCTCCCTTTTACCCCGCCCCCACCCCCCACCCCCAAAGCAGACCGTGCATGTCAAACTCACCCCCACTACCCTCCCATCCCCACCCCCAAAACAGACGACACCCCCCGCCCTCCCCGGGCACCTGGCATTGTAGCATGACCTGTCCTTCCAACTTGCCCTTGGCGGTGGAGAGGCTGTGCCCCCAGAGGGGCTGAAGGAGGGCATCGGCCAATGGAAGAACTTCCTCCGGCTGCCTCTGCGGTGGGCGAGAGACCACCCATGGGGGAGAGCAAGGATTTCGAAGAGGACTGGATCAAACAGCTGCGGAGGGAGCCCAGTTGGCAGGTCAGTTATGGATTCCCCAAGGGGTCTTTGCTGCTTTGGAAAGAAGGGAGGGAGGGAGGGGTGGCTGGGTGGGTGGGGGGCAGCATCCTCCTTGCAGCACCTCAAGTTGGAGGAGATGTGCTGAGGGTGAAGGGAGCCGTCATCCATCCCTGGGCACCTCCTGCAAAAACTCCGGTTAATTTGTGTGCAGAGGAAGGGAGGGAGGGAGGGATCGGCGACCGTCCTCCGCTTTGCATTGTCTTCTCCGTCTTCTTGAGTTGGAAATGTAGTGAGGAGGGGGGGGTGAGTTAGACAGAGCTTTGCAAATCGGGAGGCGCGTTCTAAATTTAAACCTCCCTTAATAATGGTAGTTGCATTAACCAGCTGCAGGTGTGCAGCGCTATTAAAGGAAACTGGATTTTCTCTCTCTCCCCTTCCATCCCTCCCTCTCTCTCTCTCTCTCTTTCTCTCTCTCCCTCCCCCTCTTTCTTTCTCTCCCTCCCCCTCTTTCTTTCTCTCTCTTTTTCTCTTTCTCTCCCTCTCTTGCTCTCTCTTTCTCCATCTCTCTCTCCCTCCTCCCTCTTTCGTTATTTCTCCCATTCTCCATCTCTCCCACTTTCTCTCCCACTCTCTCTTTCTTTCCTTCTCCATCTCTCTCTCTCCCTCTTCCTCTCTCTTTCTCCTAATCTCTCTCCCCCCTCTCCCTCTTTCCCTTCCCCTCTTTCTTTCTCTCCTCAATCTTCTCTCTTTCTCTGAATCTTTCTCTCTCCCTTCCCCCTTCCTTCTCTCTCTCCTTCTCCAGCTCTCTCTTTACCTCCCCGCCTCTTTCCTCCATCTCTCTCTTTCCCTTCCTCTCTCTTTCTCTCAATCTCTCTCTCCCCCCTTTCTCTCTCTCCTTCTCCATCTCTCTCTTTCTCTCCAATCCAAGTTTAATTCGTCATTGCAAGAGGAGGAGGGGGGGGGCACCCGTCAATCTTCCACTTTTATATCAAACGTGTGTGCGTGCCGTTTTAACTTTCCTTAATGATGGGATTCCTTTCCTTAAAACAAAAAAATAAATAAACGCATTACCTATGCATTATCACAGAGTAAAGCTGGATTAATCCCGAGTAGAGATGCTTTGGCATCCTTCCTTAAGGCTAAAAGGTAGTTCTGAGTTAACGGCAAGGGTGATTTTTGATATTCTGGCCATACCTGCTTCATTTTTCTTTTCCTTCTTTTCTTTGGAAATTAGTTGTTTCCATTTCATAAAGCAGTTTCTGTGGCCAGCTTGGATTGCCTCGGCACACAGCATCTTATACACCCTCTCTGCCCTTTTCTTCCTCCTTCTGCATTTCAATTAAACCCCCCCACCAAATGCCGAAGAGAGAAGTCATATTATTGGTTTCTTCCTTCTCTGGTTCTCCACCTGGGCTTGGAGAGATGCTGTGGTCCAGCCCTTCCCACGAGGCTCATTTTGATGACTTCCCATCACGGAGAAACTGTTTCCAAGTCCGCAGGGCTGAGAAAAATAGCTCTGTCCAATTCCCTCCAATATCTCCTTCCCTAGAAAAATGAGAAAAATCAGAAAAGGCCAGGTTCTCCTTCATTTGGCAGTGAGGAAGAGATCCTGTGTGGATCACCTGTGTGACTACAGCCTGACCTTCATTAGCCTGGGAGGCATCTTACTTTGGAGTGATGGAAGAATCCAGTAGTTTGTTTTTTTTTAATTTAATTTTTTAGGGCCGGGTGGGAAGCATGCGGTGGATTTGAATCGCTCTTCCGTCAATATAATCGCTTTGAGCCTCACCCGCCGAATAATTAGGATTTGATTTTGCAAGATGCTCAGTTAGGTTTTTGATTCCCTGCCCCATCTCACATTTTATTTTATTTTATTTAGTTTGTCAAACAGAGGAGAGGGACGCAAGCCCCCTTTACAGACCTCTTAGGAATGGGGTGAGGTCCACAGTAGACAGTCTTAAGGTTAAAGTTTTGGGGGGGTTTGAGGATGTAACAACGGAGTCAGGGAGAGCATTCCAGGCGTTGACCCCTCTGTTGCTGAAGTCGTATTTTCTGCAATCGAGTTTGGAGCAAGTTTACCTTGAGTTTGTATCGATTGTTTGCCCAGATATTATTGAGGTTGAAGCTGGAAAGTCATTGACAAGTAGGACATTGTAGCAGACAATTTTGTGTACTACACTTAGGTCAGACTTAGTCGGCGTAGTTCTGTCCAAGCCCAAAATTTCGAGCCCGGTGGCATCAGGGATTCTGTTGTGAGCAGAGGAGCGGAGGACTCTTCCCGTGAAATATCTTTGGACTCGCTCAATCGTGTTAATGTCCGATATACAGTGAGGATTCCAGGCAGACGCGCTGTATTCGAGGATTGGTCTGGCAAAGGTTTTGAATGCCCTAGTTAGCAATACAATGTTACCGGAGAAGAAGCTTCACAAAATTAGGTTAACAACTCTTAAGGCCTTTTTGGCAATGCTGTTACGGTGAGCTCTTGCAGTTAGAAAAAAAAGGATGTGGCGGTTGGATCATTATCGATGGAAGGATTTAAATTTGAACCCGTGTACAGGAGGTAAAGACAAGAGGCATTCTGGAATTAATCGAGGCTCAAACCCCATTCGGAATTTCTCTTCTGAATGGGGTTCAACCCCTAAAATGGGGAGAGGAGATTTGTGGTTTGGCGCAGAGTGTGTGCGCGTGCTTTAACCCACGTAAAAATTGTTGGTGAAGAGCGTGTTTTCACAATCATAGTTAAGACACCCACTGCCATCCTTCCTGAGCCAGTTGGATGACCATTATTCCACACATTGGTTATCAACCCTTCTATCAGGCCTGCAGCCATCTTCCTTTTGAATCTCTGGCCTGCCACATTTTCTATTATTCTGCTATGCATTTTCTATGGTGGGAAAATGGGAGGGGGGATTGTATGGAGTTAGATGCTATGTAGCCATAACAAAATTCTTTCTAGAAAGCCAAGGTCATCCTTTGTCTCTGCACCTGACTGGAACTGGATGGGTGGAAGCTGCCAGCGTGGCAGTGGGAGATTGGACCATGGGATGGACTTGGGGGTGGGGTGGGGGCAAGATCTTGAACTTTCAACTGGGTGGGGAAAACCGAGAAGCTTCAGATTTGGGTTTTCCAAGATGTGTCAACTTGGCTCTCTTAATAAATTGGAACTAAGAGCAATACTTTGCCTTGGACTCTGATTTAATTTTGGAGGCTATTTGGAACGCTGACAATTTGAAATTGTG